TCACACAGAGATAATCTTCCAGGACCGGATACACCTCAAAGTCTGCGACCATGGATCGGAGATAGCTTGCACCTTCGTCAGTCCGGCCCAGAGACCTGCACGCGGATACCATGCTCGTAAAGATGGCGTTGTCCGGCATCACACCCCTGAGCACCATGTTGGAGAGCAAACTCACAGCCGCTGCGTACTTCCCCTTCGTGGCCAATCCAGACACCATCAAACTCCACGACTCCAAGTTCTTCTCCTCGATCGAATGGAAAATCGAGGTTGCCTCCTCAAGAGACCCCAGCCTCAAGAACGTCTTGAGAAGCAAGTTGTTCAACTCCAGATCTCTGAGGCAAGAGCTCCACCGAAACTCCTTCGCAACCTTCCCGGCATCGTCCAAATTGGTGCACGACTCCATGACCGTGAGGAACGAGTTCTTGTCGGGCTTGACATATCTCTGGATCATTCCCTTGAAGATCTTGTACGTGTCCCCTGCCTGTCCGTTCCTGTTGTAGGCCGCCATGATCGTGTTCCACGACTCCAAGTTCCGCTGCGCTCCCATTCCCTCGAACAGAATCCTAGCCTCCTCGATCTCTCCATGCAAAGAGTGAGCACGGATCATCGCGTTCCACGCGACCGGATCCCTGTTGGGCATGAGCTTGAAGATCCGCTTCGCTTCAGAGAACATCGCGCGATCGAGGTAAGCCATGAGCAGCGTCGTCCACGGAGCCTCGTACGAAGTAGACATCTTGTTGAACACGTCCTGCGCGTCGCTGATCTCTCCAGCCTTGAGGTAAGCCTCAAACAGCGGCGTGCAAGAAGCCACACTCGGGTTCTTCATCCTGTGTACCATCTCCTTCGCCGTCGCAAGATCCCCGCTCGCGGCAAATGCTGCGATCATAGCTCCCCACACTCTCTCGTGCCCGGGCGAAGCCCGGAAGATCGTGAACGCCCTCTGCGGCATCCCGGCCCGCGCATACCCCTCGATCATCGTCACCCAGAGGTCCACTGCCGGATCCTTCGCCAGCTTGAACAGCTCCTTGGCCTCGTCCATGAGCCCTCTCTGGGTATACGCCGAGAGCATGATGTTCCAAGTCTTGACGTCCCTCTTCGCAGCACCATCGAAGAACTCCCTGGCGTCCTCGATCTTCCCGTTCACAATGTAAGCCTCCAGCATGTTGTTGAGCGCGATCATGCTGTTACTAGTCGGCAGAGCGTCATACGCGTAGCGCGCTTCCTCGGTGCTGTTGCAAACGCCGAAGAGCTTGATCAGGAGATTGCCCAGGAAGCCATCGTGGTCGTATCGCCTCTTTCTGATCAGTCCCTGGAGCCGGCGGCCCTCCTCGAGGCCTTTCTCTTTGATACATCGTCGCAGGAGGAAGTAGTAAGCATCCTTGCTGCTCCCTCGATCGGATCTCGCGATGAATTCCACAGCCTCGGACAAGCTTCCCTCTTTGTAGTCACCAGCCACAGCTCGCAGCAGCGATCGAAAGTGTAGAAGCCTGGAGAGTGAGACCCGGACCATCTTCTTTGCTTCTCTGCCGCTATAAACCCCGGATGATTCTCTATTATATACAAGCTAGTCTAGAACCCCGAGCTTCCTGGTTCTACCACTTATCTACGATGGCAAGATCCCCCACTGGTGTAGCAGGCCTTTCCCCGACGCTATCTCCAGGACAAGCAGCACAAGGACTGCTAGCATCGCCACCCTTCCGTTCCAAGTCTCGGCGCTCTTTGTCCAGCCCCATTCCCAGACTGCTACTGGAGCTGGAAGTTCCCTCCGTTGTGTATCATACGTTGCGAGTAACTCTCCTACGCTTCCGAGAGGAACGAGCGCCTGAGAGAGAGAGAGAGCGAGATGAAAACTGAGAACAAACTTATAAGGAGTAGCAAACCTGTCGCGCTTCCAAGTTCGATACGGCCATTGCTCCGACGTAAGGTAGTGCTTCGATCACTGCGTCTGCCAAGTCTGTGATGAATGTGGAATCGCAGTTGAGCGCCGGAACTCGACCCCAGTGAACTATTCCCGACTCCAGCGCAAGCTCTTTGTATTCCATGTCGATCTCCTCCAATGTCTCGATGTGCTCGCTGACAAAACTGCATGCATTGCAAGAAAAGTTGGTCTTTCTTGTTCACAAAAGATTTATACAAACCTGATTGGAACTGCCAAAAGGCTCTTAATACCGTTCTGACCAAGCTCTTTTATCTTCACATCTGTGTATGGCTTTAGCCATTCGACAGGACCAACGCGGCTCTGGTATATGAAAACAACCACAAAATGAAAAACAAAAGAGAAACATCAAAGTGAGATAAATACCTGATATGCCAAGGAGTGAACGTTCTTCACCCCCCTGCTCCGCAACTCAGACATGATCAAGTCGACGCATTCTTCCATTTCCGCTTTGTATGGATCCCCGGCTTCTTCTACATACGCCACCGGAACTCCATGAGCACTAAAAAAGATATGGACCTGCAAGCAGAAACGTAAAACTTTGAGAACGCAAGGAAAGAGCTCCTTACGTCCTCAGGATTCGGAAACTTGGAAAACTCCTTTTCTATGAGAGACGCCATAGCTTTTACATATCCTTCCCTCTGGTACCACGAAGGAATAACAGTGTGTTGCATGTTGACTAAATACTCATCCGACCTGCAATCAAGTTAAGCCTCAAACGACGAGCAACGATCGTGGTACCTAAAGATGCTTTCTAGAAGGCGCAAACTCGAACCGCTTGTGGAAATGGAAAACTGCGGGTAGAGTGGTAGAACGACAAGCCTCGTTATTCTATCCTTCTTTATCTGCACATAAGCTACAATTTAAACGAGATATATAAGAAGAATTTCGGCTAACCTGTTCAATGGCTTCTTCCGTGAAAGGATGCCAGTATCGCATCCCAACATATACCGCTGCAGGCAAATGCTTGGTCTCCAAAGATTTTTGGAGAGCCCTAGCCTGTGAGAAACTAAATACTGTAACTAAAAAGAATGCGTGAATCAAGCCTTGCCTGTTCTTCAGTTATTCTTCTCAACGGAGAACCTCCACCGATAGAAGCATATCCTTCGGCACTCTTGGGAGCCCGAGCCGCCGAAATAAACTCCGCAAGTGGTTTCTGGAGGAACCGAAACAGTCGAGGCAGCCGGATGATGTCCTGAAATACTTAATGTTGTTAGAAAGTACGCGAAAATAAAATCAAGAAAACACAAAGGGAAGTAAAACAAATGAAAAGAGAAAGATGTTAAACTCACAGGATCGGAGAAAAGATTAAAAAGAAAGGGTTGCACGTCTTCGAGGGAGTCGGGTCCTCCAAGGTTCAGAAGCAAAACTCCCACTTTCTCGTCCTGTGGGAGCGCCAAAGGTTGCCGAGTTTCACTCATCAAAGGTCCCACATCCACAGTTGCCTTCGTCATAAGCTTCCATGCGCTCTTTTGTGACCGTCTGGAAGCTTGAGACAAAGATCCGTATTTGCATGCGTGGTCTCCCAAGAACAGCACACTTGGCCTATAGATCCACAAAAAGAATTCATCAATACCATCGGAACAAACAAAGCTCAAACAAACGTGGCAAGGACACAGTCACAATCCAAAGAAGAAGAAGCTTTCAATACACGGGAGACACAGTTCACGCTTTGGAAGAACACATACCCGGTCTTTGCCTGACGCCTGCAAGACACCTCACCAATGCGATTCCACTGCCGTGATCTCTCGCCTGAACAGCGGAGCAGCTATATAACTTCCAGAAATCCCCCCAAAACTTACATGGATGAATCGCGAATTCCATCTGCTGCTGCATCGCCACCGCAGTCCAGCGCGCGTCCACAAGAATGTGAGCTCGCCGCCCGCCCTAGCGCGGCATTGGCGCTGCTCGCCACGGCAAACCCTAAAATCCTGGGCCGCTGACGTGGCAAAGCGGGAGCCCCAAATGCAACGCAAGGTTGACAATCGAGAGAGATGAAATCACATTCTTTACCCAGTTAAAGTTTGGTAAACAAGAAGGTTCATTGAACCTAGACTGGCTTGTGGCGCGAAACTTCTCCAGTCAATCAGGACCGTTGAACGCGCGCGTTTTCCAGAACGGAAGATCTCAGGTTGGTTCCCAATAAATAGGACCTTGGTTTGCGCGTAGAAACTCTGCTATTCTTACACATCGATTCCATCGCAGAGCGAAATGGCAATGGCAGAGAGAGAGATCGCGCTCACGGAAGAGCTGCGATCGGTGGCGGAGAGGAATCAGAAGCTGGAGAGGGCGCTGGCATCGAGCAGGGCGCGCGAGGAATCGCTGTGGAAGAAGATCGATCTCATGAGGATCGAGGAGCGGAAGCTGGAGGAGGCGGAGGAGCGTCTGTGCGCGCAGCTGGGGCAGCTGGAGGTGGAGTACATGGAGCAGAGCCGAGCCCACAAGGAGCAATTGGAGATGGAGCGATCGGCTCACTCGCGAGATCTCCAGCGCTTGGCGGAGGAATTTGCGGCGGTGGAGAGGAGACTGGAGGAGGCGCAAGCGAAGCTCGAGCTCTACGCCAGCAATGGGGATCGCCCGCGAGAGACGATCCATCGCCAGGATCAAGGATCGCTGCTCAAGAGCTCTGGAGATCAAAAGCCCGGGAAGAATGGAGGAGGCTTGGAGAGATTGCTGGTGATGTGGTCCAAGCTGGCTGTGGAGAGTTTTGCGTGAGATTAATGGAATAGTTAGCTTGCATTGGTAGATCATTGTACCTTTCTAGATTGGGAAGAAACAAAAATGGAAAAAAAGCTGTTGCGTGGTACCAAAAAATCATCCATCAAGATCAAGGATAAAAAAACAAAAAATCTTGGTACTTTTCTACTTCATGTAACAAACAAGAACACCACAAAATCACTCAAGATCAACACTACGTTCTAAGGTTTTACTTTGTAAAAATATCGAAATCAGATCCAAACAGGCAAAAAGCTCACCGTCATTTTCAACTTTATTCTTCCAAACCCCACAAACTTTGACTTGTTCCATCTTCACTCACTGCTCTTAATCTGTAGTACAAGATGGCTGAAAGATCATAGTCCCTTCATTAAAGTTCTTGGGTTGGAAAGACAAAAGAAAACCTCGCAGGCTTTGATCAGCACAAACAAGATCGTGCAAACCTTTCTCTCTCGCGCGCGCCTAGGCAAAAGTGTTTGGCCTCTTGGCCTTGAACGTCGTCTTGAGCTTCCGGCTGGGCGCGCGGATCTTCCGGTTCATGAGCGGGAACTTGATCTCCGAGCTGTGGAACTGCTTGGTGTTCTCGCGCTTGCAAGCACTGTCCGGGACGCTCGCCGTCTTGATGATCTGGATGCAGGGGAATCGGACGCGGTGGCGCGACGCCATCTCGTCATACATTTGCTCCACCGCGCCGTTCAAGGTGATGTCGCGGTACTCCTTGTACATGTTGTGGTACCCCGTCCGGCTCTGGTACCTCACCCAGATGCCATAGTTCTTGATCGTGGTCGGGTTCTTCTCGAAAATCTGTGTCACGAAGTTCCAAAGTTCTCACTTGTAAGGCTAGAGCATCGAGGAAAGAAAGAAAAAGAAAGAACTTTACCTCGTTGATAGCGAGGATCTGGCCGTGAGACTTCTTCACCTTCTTGAGCTTGCGAAGGAAGTACCTAGAGTGAAAGAAAGGTAAATCGAGAGAAAATGGAAATGGATCGATCGATCCAATCGACTCGACTCACCAGAATTTGGACTTGGCGCGCACTTCGTCGCCGGCCCAGAGCTTCATCCGGTACATCTTTGGGTGCTCATTGTCGGGAGTGGGAGTAGCTCTTCCGACCACCTGGTACTGGTGAAACTGCGAGACAATGGGAGGGATCAATCGATGGATCGAGCGCTCGAGCTGCGAATTCTTACCCGGAACTTCATCGCGCCGCGCCTCGCCTCTTTCTCCCGCAGCCGCCCAAATGCGAAGACCCTCTAAACCCTAGGTGTGGAAAGCCGTCCGATTGATTTGCCCTAACACGGACGGCATCGGAGACGCGTCCGCGGTTCGATTCCCTTCGTGGGCGTGATTTAGCTCAGGGTTTAGATTTTGGAAGCTGGATGCCGATGCCGCGCGCGCCAGTGGCGGATTCTTGCGCAATCCTCTGGATCGGCGGCGCTGCCGGGCGGCATCCTTGCGAATGATCCATCGCATTGAGGTCTGGATCGATCTGATCGTTGCGTTTCGTAGGGAGAAGGATGTCACGTCCTTGTTGCGGACGATGATCCTCATTTTCTGGCAGAGATCAAGCTTAAGCTCGAGATCTTTCACTACTGCGGTAAGATCGATCGTTTAAGAGCTCTCTGGGAATTTTCTTGATAATGTTGGCAGTGACAACGTTTGTGAATGGAGACTCTGTTCGTGAAGCATTACAAATGGAGCCATGCTCGTTTCATATAGCTTTGCTGGAGGTACTATTTCTATTTCATTTTCTTCACCTATCAAGAAATAATGCTTGTTTATTATAAGGCCATGAGCAAGAACATCAAAGGCCTTGAAATCCTCTCTACACCACGATGTGTACCTATAATTTGTGAGTTTTAAGCATTTGGCATGTCTCATTCTCATCCGGATAGTTTATGCAGTGGTTTCTAGCATAGAGGATATTGCTGTAAGGTTTAAGTTTCTGAAAGTGGATTTTCCTATCGCAAAGTTTTTAAAACAGGCTGGTGCTGCTGGTTTTCTTCGAAAACGAACTATTGACGACGAAACACTCAAAAATCTTTGGCAGCATGTAGCAAGAAAGGTAAAAAATGTATGTTTTGTTTCTTCAATCAGCTAAGTAAATTTCCAGGCTTTGAAGGAGCAGAGCCGAGTCCATCTTCATCCAATCGGTGAATCAACAATCTCTATAAAACATACTTCTACAACTGAAGATCAATCCAAGACACGACTAGAACAATCATCTAACACAACATCTGACAGCATTCCCACTCTAGTTACATCTCAAAGTAACAATATCTCAGGTAGTGTTTTGGAGTTTTTATCCATCAGTAGAAACAATTTTTGTACATTTCCAGAGAAGAAGTAATGCGAAATGAAATCGTATGCTGGCGAGAGCGTGAATGGTCAGCTGACTTCTAGCAATGACGAAGTGACGCTGGATGACGAGCTGGAGTCCATGCAAAGGTCAGCATCTGACCATACCGGAACCGTCGATGCCGCTCAACAAGAACAACACATGCAACGTGTAGAAAACTGTCACAAAAAAGAACGAAATTTAACAACGAAAAAAACAAAGGTAAGAACGCCTCTCTTATGGACTTGACGATGTTTCTTCTCAGGTTGGAGCCCAGATCTTCACCGGTTGTTTGTTCAGGCTGTAGAGGAACTTGGCTTGGAAAAAGCGATTCCATCTCGAATTCTGGAAATCATGGGCGTTGAGTCCCTCACACGCCATAATGTTGCCAGTCGCTTACGGGTACAAGAACATCATTGTATGCTTGTGTAAACACTATTTTCAGAAGTACCGTGCTCAGAGGAAGCGCAAGCGCGCTGAATCGAAACAGAAGTGCTCAAGCTAAGAGGCGCTGAATAAACGCGATTGTCTACACATTCAACCTTCTCCATCCATTCCTTCTACGTACCATTTTGTTCCGCCTGGCCATGTATGGGGACTCCCTGCTCAAGGTTGGCCACCTTCAAAGCCTTTGCACCAGGTACTCGTAGAATTCCTTTTCAGTATGGGTGCCTGATTCTAGTTTTTGCAGAATTCCATTTCCGCATGGCAGACAACGGGTCCACCTGCAAAGCATATCTGTGTTGTTTTTAAGCACCGACTTGTTTTCTCTGAATTTGCAGTCAAGAAACGCAAACAAAGATGAATCGCGTGTAAGGTCTAAACTATCTTTACCAATGCGACTTAAGCCTCCGATGATCGCGGGGTGTAATCGAAGAACTCAGGAAACTGGCTCAAAGAGCTAAGTGAAGAGTCAACGAGGGCAGGCTGTATGGTGGGCTCTTCAGCGCAGTAGCTGATGGATCTTCCAAACATCCGTAAGCCGAACTTGGATTTTCAATATTGGATAGCTGAACAAGTCAGATTCTTGACTTCGAGAACATACTGGGAAGACGCACTCTCTTCTGAGCTGCAACTACAGGTAGCTAAAACTAGTGCTTGATCGTTGTTTTAATCCTTTGGTGTTTGCAGGAGTCGAGTACCTGCGAGAAGAGTCCAGTTAAATCATATGAAACTGAAACCGAGACATTACAGCAGGTAGCTTACCTCCTAGAAGAGTGATCCCGCTCCTGATCCTGCTCTGGGTGACTTTGCAGGATACTCGGGCACTCTATTTCCTCTCTCGTCATACAGGATGAGGCCAGAGAAATCCGGAGGCTCGCACTTCTCGCCCATGAGAATCGTTCTCTGCCACACGGCTCCCGTGTTCTCCCAGAACATATCGTCCTGCTTCCTGTACTGCTGCTCCACGCGCAAAAGAGCAGCTTTGCGCTTGGCTTCCTTGCGCTTTGACAACCACTTGAGCTTGGCCAAGGCCCTTGGAGTTAGACATCCTTCGCTGCCAGAGAGCGAGCCAGACCTGTCGAGCGAATCCTCTGAGTCTGCTAACTCCTTGCTAGAAATTCTCTTGACGGTAAACATTCCCAGCAGCATAGCGAACCATCTCGTCATGTGATTCATCGTGCTCCTTGTTTTTCGATGCAGGCTAGCTACCTCGGCCTGCTGAGAAGCGAGTGAGATAGGCTGGAGAGCCGCAGACAAAGGGGCTTGTCTCTTACCTCGAAGAGAGCGTAAGTTTTTCTAGACGATCCCGCTATCCTTGTTTGACTCGCAAAGCCCGAAGTGCACCTTGCAGATTGGTGCGAATGTTCGCTGGCGTGCCATATATCAGTTCGTGCGCATGAGTGCTCCCGGAGTGGAGCGAGGCTCGCTCACACGTCGACGAATCCACTTACCGAGTGAAAGGTGAAAGAGAATTTGGAGTCGCAATCAACTATGCGGCCCCGGAACAAGATGGAGGGAGGGATAGACCAGAAAGAGAGATCATATATAAAGGTAGACACTGAACACTCTCTTGCGTCGCCGTGGATTAATTCCTTTGAGCTACAGGAATCGAGAGAACAGCAGCGGTCAATCAGTATATATTTCCATCGTCAAAAACTATTTCTTTTGTAAGCTGGCTTACCTTTGGTTTGCTCGATCACCCGGCTAACTCTCTTTCTCGCGCAGGCTTTTCAGAAAATGTAGTGTAAGGAAGGTCGGTGGTAGCAGCCAGGAAGGCGAGAGAGAAACTTTAATACGAGGACAGCTCGCAGTGGACGGTCAATAATCAAAGGTCAATCCTTCAACTGCCATAGCTTTTCTTTAACTTGCTTACGGACACACAGAGGGGGCGAGAGGAGACCACGCGGCCAAGAAGACGAAGATTGACTCACGCAAATAAGATCGATTCGTGAGAGCTTCCTTACACAGGTAAGCTTCGAAGACAAGTTCTTCTTTCGCTTTGGAAAAATATATTTCCGGCACACCCGGGTCTCTCTAGGTGGGTGTTGAATCGATCTGCCTCGCTGGTGTCACTCACAACTCGTGTTCGTGATATTCAAAGGTGGGCGATGGATAGACGAGCACTAGCCGAGCTCAGCGGAGTTTTATAGCGAAAACAAAGACGAGAGTAATCCGCAAGGCGAGACAACAGTGTTCCCGTGAGCCGGAAGAAAGAACAAACTACCAACAATGGTTTTAGTCGGTTTTAGCAGTGGACTGGATACTTCCACCGCCCTCGACATCGAAGAGATCGAAGTGAGAGCGAGGCAAGACTACTTTTTTGTGATTGACAAGGCTGGCCCATCCTCTTTTGTTCTTAGTTCCAACCAGTTTCGACAAGACCAACCGGAGCGAGATATGAAAGAGACAACAATTCTTGTATCAACAGCAAGTTTCTCGTGAACTTACATGGAGGATCGAGAAGGTACTTTCAAAAGCAAGCTCTCTAGAATTTTTTTTAATCTTTTGCTTTGGCAGTCACGCCCTGTAACTGGAAGATGATTGAGAACCGGACTACCAGTGGGGACTACGCACTCACCAGCCGAAAGAAGTCCGGAAGAAGAAACAAAGCGAGGAAGTTGCCCAGCCGACATCTCACGTAGTAGCCTCGGCGATGCTACTCGCAAGGACGCTGCCAAAGTTATTGAAGTAGTTGTCGGGCTCCGTCACGAAGCAGGAGATGATGTCGCGCAAAGTCACCACACCCACGATGCGTTGCTTGTCGTCCACGATGTGGATGCGGTGGATGCCTTTCGTGGAGAGCACGTCGATCACCTCGCCCAGGCTGGTGCTCTCCTCGCAAGTTATCGGCGGCATCATCAGCGCTGGATGGGGGTCGTGAGTGGACGACTTGGCGCTGTGCATGAAATCATACACCGTCAACTCCCTGCGCAGCAAAGAAAAAGCGAGTTACTACTTCGTCAACTAGAAGAAAATCTGTGGTTACCTCCGCCTGGAACAAAGCTCGGGTTGAAGCAACAAGAACCGGATGTCCCGCATGCTGATGTTTCCAACCAGTTCCTTCTGCTCGCCTTTCACGACCGGCAGACCGCCAACGTTCTTCTCGCGCATGAGCACGAAGGCGTCGAGTACCAACTTGTCTGCATCAATCGACACCACCTGTGGGAGCCGCGTTATAGACATGAGGAAGAGATGGAGAAAGACAAACCTGGTCCGGGGTCATGCGAGGCAGTCCCAGTTGAAAGATACTCTTGTCGGCAATGAAGTCGAACCAGTCACGTCCGCGGCACATCGCCAGGCCCTTGACAACAGCCGACTGAGTTATCAAGTTCTTCACCGTCGGCTGGTCCTTGTCCACGATCGGGATGCTCCGGAGCCGAAACTTGGACAGCAGCAACAGAACCGTCAGCATGGTGTCGTCCGGTTGCACGGGCAGAAACGGAGCCCATCGAAACGACTTCGTGATCTCCCAGACCTGCAGCGCAAAACGAAGGAGATACAAAAGATAAGCTGGTGGAAGACATACTACGTTACCTTGGTGGACTTGAAAGGCTCTTCGTTGAGAATGACCCGGAAGAAATCCTCGCCGAGAGAGTCCGCCGCAGTGGAAGCATTCTTTCCAGGTCCTTTGTCCGCAGCCACACCACCAGCTATGGCGGCACCCACGGCAGCAGCAGTGAGTCCCACGACAACTCCGGGTCCTGTGGCTCCGAGCGCCAGAGCTCCGAGAGCTCCAACAGCGCCGGCTCCCATTCCAGCCGCTGCTGCCGAGCCGGAGGCTAGAGCGGTGGCAGCAAGCTCGGCCTTTTCCAGCACCCAGAGGATGATCACCGAGTAGTCCACCATCCCCAAGTAACGCTCGGACCAGCGCTCCTTGGCGTCGGCGTCTGGGATCTTCACGGGTGCCGAGAAGATGTTCTTCTCCGAGAGAATTCGAACGGTGTCGGCGATGGTTGTATCAGCTGCGATCTCCACGACTGTGATCCACGATCATGCAAAGAAAATTTTTTTCAGTAGAGTTCCTACGATGGGAATTTCTCATACCTTCGCCAGACGGCACGTCCGGGAAGTAAGAAACTGGGATCTTCGCAAAGGCGGAGTTGAGGAGCTCCTGGATCCCTGAGGGGACGCCCCTCTGGCACAGAACCCTCTCGTGCTCGTTCCACAGCCTCACGAGCTCCGAATGTAGATCCTCCGACGCCATGGCAGTCCCTAATCTCTGATCTGTGAGAGAAACTCGCCGATCGGCAGCTGCAAGAAGAGCGCATCGGCCAAGAAATGCGAAATGCGTCGCCGCGATCTTGCTACGCGACGATCATACCTGGAATGACGTGCAAATCTCCCGCAAAGAAGAGCGCGATCGCATAAACCCTAAGAAAACACAGTGAAAAGAAAGTCGCACAGTGAGAGATGAGGTGGCGGCCTCTCAGGCCACCAGCTGGGATTACAGCAAGACGACACGTGTAGAGAGAATATACAGGGGTTTTCTAGGGTTTTCTTCCGAGCATTGATGTTTGCGATCACGGTATGGATCTCTACATTGCTAAAATTCTCTCGTATGTTTGTTTCCAGATGGATTTCGCGGAGATCGATAGGCTCCTGGGCGCTGCATGGCTCGGCGCTGCTTTAATCTGTGTCGCGGCGGCGCTGCCAATTAAAGCGCTCCATCCTCTCCGATCTCTGGTGCTTGCCTGCTGCCGTAGAGGAAAGCTCCTCTATTCTTCTTCTTCTTCGTCAAAGGTAAGCATTTCATTAATAGTTCCATAGCTAGGAAGAAATCATAGCTTTCTCCACTGGATTTTTCTCATGTCGACATACTCCACACTCCGTCTATTTCAATTCACTTCCATAGCTTCCTTTCCCTTAGGTCTAAACCATAGCTTTCTCCACTGTGGATTTTTTTCTCCGCATGCCAACTTACATTTTCCTTTCCATTTCAATTCACTTCCATAGCTTCCTTTCCCTTAGGTAGAAACCAACTGTGGATTTTTGCTCCACGTACTCCAACAGTGTCAACTTACATTTTCCTTGCAGAGATTCACTGTTCCACAGAGCTTCTTCACGCACTTCTACGTTGTTGGTGTGACTTGGAACACTCTTTTGCTCGCCACGGCCACACTCTCGTCGTGCATGTGTACACTATCATCAGCAACAGATGGAATCCAGTTCTCGGCGCTGGTCGAGCAATTCACCGGGGCTGGAGCTTCCGCCGGCTCGGGCTCCATCCCGTCCATGGCCAAGCAGAAGCAACGGGGCTGGACGGTCGTCCTTTTGCTACTCCTTATGGAGCTCCAGGTGTGCCGGAGGCTTTACGAGTCCCTGATGGTTCTATCCTATGGCCCGGACGCTCGGATGCATCTCCTCGGCTACCTCGTCGGACTCTTGTGAGTAGCACTGCTTTTGGTTTTCTCGAGTTTCCGGACTTGGAGAGCTTACTTTTCTCAGCTTCTATGTGGCAGCTCCACTCTCGCTGTGCTGCCAAGAAATCGGAGAGATCATGATCAACACTCTCGGCACGGTCTCACAGGGCCGGTTACGGAGTTCGTGCGCTTGGAACCCCGACACGCGGTGGTGGGAATGTTTCCATTACTCGCCATGGAGGCTGAACTGGTACCAGTGGCTGGGTGCGCTACTCTTTCTATGGGGGTGGTACCACCAGTACAAGTGCCATCAGATCTTGGTAAGTGCTCCTCGTTTTCTGGGCTTCTGGAAAAGCCGGCTCCTTAATCGGGCTTTGCTTTTGCTCTCTAGGCCTCGCTCTCGAGCGAAGAAGAGTCAGGAGAAGGCAAAACGTACGTGATACCATATGGGGACTGGTTTGACAAAGTTTCCTGCGCTCATTACCTCTCCGAGATCGTAAGTTCATTCCCCCGGAGCTTCGCATCATACTTCCGACTTAAACTCCTCTACTTTTTTTTTTGGAAAGGTCATGTACTTCGGCCTCGTGTTTGCAAGTGGAGGGACGCAAGCTACGATATGGTTTTTACTCGCCTGGGTGGTACTAAATTCTTTTTTTCTTTTTCTCTTTTTGTCGATAAAGGTGGAAATTTGATCGTGATTTTTGATTTTGTTTCGTCCAGTTCTCAAATCTCTATCTGGCCGCCAAGGAAACACATGAGTGGTATCTGTCCAAGTTCGAGAACTATCCCAAGAACAGGAAGGCGTTAATACCGTTTCTTTACTGAAGCATGGCAAGCACATATGTATATCTATGAATGTACACGACGAAGAAAGCAAAGTTTGTAAGTATACTGCCCGAGTTTGTGTCAATAAATTCCCAGGATCTTGGTACGGTGCTTTAACATGTTTTTCTTTTTACTGTAGTAATAAAAGTAAGTACTTCGCTAATCATCCCCCGCATCCAGCAGTTTTCTTTACAGTAAAAGCAGTACCACCAGGTGGGGGGGATGGCGTCGTAAAAAACCCACACGAAGAACCAAAAACAAAAGAGAAGAGAGAAAAGCTTCGCTTTTGGCGTCGCGATCAATCCAGATAGGATTGCATGCACACCAAGCCTTGGAGGAGCTGCATGTCATACATCAACGTGGATTCGTCACCGAGCAGCGATGATGAAAAACTCTCGACGTCGTCGATAATCTCGTCGGTGAGATTCCTGACTTGGCCGCCGCCGCCGCCGCCGTTTTGTTGATCCTGATTCTGACGATCTTCTTTCTCTCGATGATCGTGAAGAGGAGACGCTGCAGGAATCGCTACCTGCTGCTGCTGGGCGATCGTCACCTGTGGCTGGATCGCACTGCAAGAACTCGGGGGAGTGGCAGTGGTGGTGCCGGGATTAAACTCGCGCGACGAGGATGAGCTGTTGGTGGTGGCTATGGTGTCACTCCAAAGTCCACAGCTCACCTCATACAAGCTGGGGATGTTTAAGTTGCTAGCGTCGAAGATGAAGCCACTGCAAATCTCGTCCGGGGAGAGCCGCTGCTCGGGAGGATGATCTTGCTGCTGGATTTGCATTTGAGCCGCGACTTGGAGCCATAGAGACGACGCGGAGGAGGAAGAACGGTCGTGATGCCTCTCGAAGCTCGCAGTGCTGCTGCTCGAGGAGTGACGATCTGGACAAAGATCCCGCGGAGACAAAGGTCCAGTGCTTTTGATCGGAGTGGTGGTAGTGGTGGTGGCAGTAGTGGCAGTAGCGGCGGATTGGATGTTGGTGGAAAGAGATGGCTGGATGGAAGAACTCTTGGCGTTGGAGGAAGAAGAAGGAGAGGAGGACATGTTGCTCGAATCGTAGATCGGCCAGCGGTGGTGCTGGAGGGGCTGGCTCGGCGCCTGCCCGAAGCCCTGGGCGATCCTGGGAAGCAAGAATGGCCCGCGCTGGACGAGCTCCATGGTCGCCGGGAGAGGGGCCATCGGCGCCGCCAAATTCGAGGAGCACTGCGATAGCGTCGGCCCCGAGGAATAACACCCGGAGCAAGACGATGAGGAGGAAGCGAGCGGAGAAGAAGGAGAAGGAGACGAACAGGAAGAAGAAGAATACTGGAAATTCGTTCTTGCTCGCGCGCCGCGCATCGCCCTGGCGGCATTGTCGTAGGCGATCGCCGCGTCCTCGGCGGTGTCGAAGGTGCCCAGCCATCGCCGCTCCTTGCTCCTGGGATCCCTGATCTCCGCCGCGTAGCGCCCCCATGGCCGCCGGCGCACGCCCCGATACCGCCCCTCGCCCGCCGGAGGAGCAAGAGGCGAAGGCTTCGCTACCGCCGCCGCCGCCGCTCCATCGCTGCCATCGCATCGCGCTCGCTTCATCGCCCTAGCACACGCTCCAAGCGACTGATCAGTGGAGAAGAAATCCAAGCTAAAGAACACGGGAGAAATTTATATAAGCCCCGGCGCATATTCCACGAATAAAAAAAAATGGCGGCGTTACCCTCAGGTGGGGAATCCACGGCCCGGGTGATGCCACGTGTCAGGTAGCCTGACGTGTCTCTATCCACCCGAGTATGATGTCCTAGGAGAGGTAGTTAATGACAAGGTGGTGGGGAATATTCACACGGGAATCTAGCCCATAAAACGTACGTCCGTGTGCGTGTGTGTGAGTGTGTGTGGGGTTGCTTTCATGAGGGAGATTTCATTAGATTAAGTATAATAAATATTTAGTATAGTTAAGTAATGGGTACGTATCTATGTAGCACCCAAGCTGTAAAACGAGTAAGCGTTAGCAGCTTTGTGCTAATTCAAAATGATTAAGCACAAAGTGAAAAGATAGAATATTAATCTTTTACTGGCTGGCGCAGGTTTTAACTTTACTGAGTATACAACGCCGTCGCAGGTACGTATGTCGGGGGAAGGTCGGACCGCCCGCCGCCGTCAAGTCGCCGTCAGTCAGGGGAGACGGAATAATTGTTAATAAGCGGAGAGATTCCTCTATGGAGGAATAATCTTCTCTGGCAGGTAAATTTGACAGCTCATTTCTATGGTAAAATTGCACCAAGTTTGGGAGTCAAAAATGATTTGGAGGACGGCTTAGAGCGTCCAAGTTCTGTAGCTCAGTTGGTCAGAGCGTTGGTCTTATGAGCCGAAGGTCGCGGGTTCGACCCCCGCCAGAACTAGGTCCTGTCCAAAACTAGTTAGTATTATATTTTGTTTTGGAAATATTTTGATATTTTTTTTAATCAAGTCAAACATTATTATTGCTTATATCATTTCAGTTAACAAAACTAGTTAGTATTATATTTTGTTTTGGAAATATTTTGATATTTTTTTTAATCAAGTCAAACATTATTATTGCTTATATCATTTCAGTTAAAGCTTCTATTTCGTTAGAAAATTTCTCAGCTGGTCTGTACAAGATTTTGGTGGATTTTCCACACGTTAAAGCCGTAGCCGATACGAATGAGCAGCAGCTCGAAGAGCATATGGAGGATGCTGGTCATTCTCAGCTTGGAGCCCGGGATCTCTGTCCAGTTCACGGCAATCTCTAGCGCTGGGATCCCCAATCTCTTGCATAGGTACAAGAGCTCCACGTCGAAGCACCACCGCGTGAGCCTGAGATTGATGAAAAGTTGCTGTGCCGCGGACCTCGTGAACATCTTGAATCCACACTGGAGATGGAAGAAAACTCGGTGAATAAAGTTTCCATTTTCCATGAACACTATGAAAACTATAGCAACAAACCTGAGTGTCTCGGATTCCAGAGCCGGCAGCAAGGAGGACGCACAGATGGAAGCCTTTCATGAGGAAGTTCCTGTACCATTTGCGCTGCGAAAAGAAAGCCAAGTGATCTTCAGTGATGTTCAAACTTCAAGGAAGAAGAAAAGAAGGAAAGCGTATCTACCGTCGCTAGAGCTTGTTGTTCTAGATGTGCGCGTGACCCGCAGGCAACCAAGGGGACGTCAAAGATGTTTTCCACGGAAGGATCACGTAGAGATTTCTGTTTCTGTATCTTCTCCCCGTACGTCAGAATCTGCAGTGACAAAAACAAAACAAAACAAAAGATGTAAGTGTGCCAAAACTTGCTCTTCTGATCGTCCAGGAACTTACAGCATTTTCCAGCTTTTCTAAGTTTGTGATTTTAGTTGCCCCGTCCGCATCCAGCATCAGAATGAGCTCTCCTCTAGAGCAGAGAGCTCCCTTCAACAGCACGACGCATGAATCGACGGATAGAGTTATCAAACAAGAAAGAAATACCTTGGTGACGGCGGCTCCTTTGCCGCAATTGACGCCTTGCTTGATGAGCCTCACGTTGTCCATCTTATACTTCTTGATGTAATCGAATGCTACTTTTACAGTGTTGTCTCGACTTCCATCGTCGACTATAATAATCTGCGAAAACAAAACACGATGTACAAAAAAACTAGAAAAAAGAAGAGGAAAAAAGAAAACCACTAGAGAACTCTAAACTACTCACTTCGTAAGTGAATGCCTTATTTACAGCAGCGCGGCCTTCCAGATATCTGCAAAGGAAAAACAACGTTGAAAAATCCAAGGGAGAGAAAGATTTCCAAGGCAGAAAGATAAGTTTTTAGAACCTCAAGGTTTCGTCGAGAGTGAGAGGAAGCCTTGCCTCTTCATCAAAGGCCGGAATCACGAGAGACAAATATTTCTCGGGAGGTCCAAACACCGAAGGACATCGCACCTATTACGATACAAAAGCTTAGAAAATTTTTGGGACAAGAACATGGAGCTACCTTCTCAAGGGACGAGGGATTCTCCAAGAAACTTGGTGTTGTAGTCCTGAGAGAACAACGAGGCCTCAGCCACAAGAGAGAAAAAAAAAGGATCCGATCGAAGCACAAGCTTACCCGCTTCCTTGATCGAGCTTTTGCGTCCACTCCACAATGTAGCTGAGGAGCCATAGCGCGCTGGAGAACACCTGATCTCCATTCTCTCAAAAAAAACTCGAAGAGGAAGGAGGGAGCCTTACCACGACGATAATTCCAACCAGCACTGGAGAAATCTGTGACAATGGGACCAAAAGTCCCATCTCCTCCCGGCGAGCAGGGGCAGTAGCAGCAGCTGGACGAAGAACCCTAAAACCTAAAATTTGGTCACGTCCTTTTACCCCTGGAAAAAGAGCTCGCGATTTTATACGCGATGAATTGCCCTTGCTCGTCCATGCTCCTCCTACAGCCTTGATCTTGATTCTCACACTCGACATTTGGAGTTTCATGAAGATCGATCGATGAGAGATTCTTAACGAATACTAAAATATCCTCTTTTTAAAGGGAGGATAAACCCTAAACCCCAATGGCGCTTGTGTCGGTTCTTCATGGAGGTAAGCTACGTCTCTCGATCGATTGTGTCATGAATCGCGATTTTGGCGGCAGGAAGATCAGCGATCGCGGGTCCAGGCATCGGCAGCAAGAGTACACATCTGGCAGGCCCTCGGCGGCATCGATGCGCGATTGCCTCCTCTTCCTCATCGCTCGGCTCGCCTCCAGCGCCTCCATTCTCGCCCACGGCCGCCGCCAAGCTCGTTGCCGTGATTGGAGAGAATGCCGTGAGCCCCCTCCAGGAAACACCATGGCTGGAAGTCATGAACCATATGGTATGGTTTTAAGTCTCCTTCATTCATCCACCTCGCTTTTCTTTCTCTTCTTTCCAGGTGAAGAGGCTTCGCTGGACTGATGCTAGCTTTGAGATGCTCGTCTTCACGGACGAATCACTTCCAGAGAATCGAGAGTTCTCCTCGGCGGTCGCGAAAGCTGATATACTCCTGGGACTCGGGCTCGGAAATCCCGACACTGTAAGCTGGATCAACAGCGCGAGCTCGTCAGTGCCTACAAGGATTTGCTTCGACTCCACGGACAATTCCGGTACCTGGCTGGGAGGTGTCAAAGTTTTGCCTTTGGAGAGCCCGGTGGACCGGCTGCGCTCGATCGTCCCAGTAACGAAGCTCGCCAAAGGCTTGAAGGTTCTGGACCTTGTCACCAACGCTTGGAGCCGTCACAGCAGCGACAACGTGTGCTTCGCGCTCCTGGTTCTCATCGACTCGTACGTAGCTCCCGTGCCGCTGCTGAAAAACCTGCGAGCCACGAGCTTGTCACAAATCCAGTGCATGGCCAAGAACTGCGGGAAGGAGATTCTGGCTTGCCTCTTGGATCCAAGTTGCCGCAAGGCGCTCGACTGCCTGACGAGCTGTGCTCCAAACGACCAAGTTTGCAGCTACCGCTGTATCGTTTCGTACGAGACGCCTACGCTCGAGGCCATCTCGCTGTGCATCCTCCAGAAGAACAACTGCTTGGGACTGAGCGCCGAGATCCAGAGCCAGCCGGTGGTGAAGCCGCTAGAAAAGTTCCGGGGACAAGAACTCACTCACACTCTGGCCGAGGACATCTTCATCGGCTGGCTGGGGACACTCAAGTGGAGCTGGAGGGTGGCCGCTGGCCAGAACGCTGCCTACGATCACTTCGCAAACCAGATCCAGCTCTACTACCGCGGGACCAAGAACTCGATGTGGTACGATCCTGTGTTCCAAGTGGAGACGTTAGAGGGAGAACTGGTGTGGAGAAGAAGACACTACCGTGCTCGCAGAGGAGAGGTTCCCGGCACCTTTTACTTCACAGTTCTCGACAACGGCGTCGTCTCGAAGGAGTTCTGGCGGATAGTCGACTGCGCCGACGATCTCTCCTGGGGGCTCTTCTACTACAGTGGCGCCGCCACGGCCGCGGGGCAGTCATACTCGGGTGCCGTGCTGGTGTCGCCGGATGGAATGTGGCCCGGCGAGCAGCACAGCGAGCGAGTTAACGCAGCTCTCGGCCGCTGCGGTATTAAGTTATGGGAGATGTACACCGTCACCAACAACCGCTATGGTGACGAGGATGACGAGAGTGGAGAAGAAATTCCGCTGGGCCTTCCAGAGGGATCCAAGCTCCACCACCACTCGTCAATCGTCAGCAGCTCGCGTGGTTAGCAGCACCTATTCCGGACCGTGAGTCTTGGGAAATAAAAAAGCAGTTGAGCGACTTACTTCCACTGGTGACGAGGATGGCTACATAGCAAGCCGGGAGTTCTTGCTTCCCAGAGCTGGAGCACGAAGAAGAGCAGCAACAAGGAGGGGTGTGAGAAGTCACGCCCGTATGTTCAACGTCGGGCTTCTCTTCAAGTTGTGTGCGTTCCTCGAGGAAGCACTCAGCGCGCTCATCAGTTCTACGTTCGTTCTTGTCGCCGAGGACGAGATCTAGAGAAGCTCCCGACGTCAGTGGTAAGCAGCGAAAGATAGTTGCAAGCACTTAACTCGATGAACTCCAGCAGGACACGTCCCTCGATGGAGCAGCGAGGAGTTCCAAAGTTCCAACTCTTCCTGGCCTGTGTTCTTTCCAATGCCGCCTGCCTTCTCCACGCTGCCAAAGTCCCAGCTCTGTTCATCTTCGGGGACTCGCTCATCGACGTTGGCAATAACAACTACATCAACTCACTCGCCAAAGCCGACGTCCGCTACAATGGTATCGACTACAACCACGGCGTTCCCACCGGGAGGTTCTGCAATGGTCGCACCATTCCTGATTTCCTCGGTATGGCCAACTTTGCATCCTGCCTGACCTTTCCTCTTGACTTTCAGGCGAGTACCTCGAAGTCCCCCCACCTCCAGCGTACCTGACCCCCAACTTGACGATCAAAGACATCTCTCGCGGACTAAACTACGCTTCCGGAGCTGGGGGCGTTCTGGATGCCACTGGAGCAAACTACGTAAGTTCCCACCCCTGTCAAGTACTTCTTCCTTATTGCTGCCTTGTCTTCCAGATTGCTAGGCTCTCGTTCAACCAGCAGCTCGTCTACTTCGCCGGCACGAAGCAGCGCTACGTCACGGAGCTGGGAATGGACGCGGCCAACAAGTTCCTGGCGGACTCGATCTACATGGTGGCCTTCGGAGCAAACGACTATATCAACAACTATCTCGTCACCTTCTCCCCGACCCCGTCGCTGTATAACACATCTCAGTTCCAAGACATGCTGATCTCGACGTACTCGCAGCAGATATCCGTGAGTTTTGGATGTCCTTTTCTTTCTCTTTGGTAGTTTCTTCCTTCCGCTGACTTGGTTTCTATCGCTGGGCAGCGTCTGTACGACCTCGGAGCCAGGAAAATGGTTGTCTTTGGAGTCGGCCCACTCGGTTGCATTCCCAACCAGCTGATGAGAACCACTGACCAGAAATGCAATCCTCAAGTAAACAGCTATGTCCAAGGCTTCAACGCGGCACTCCAGAGGCAGCTCAGTGGAATTTTGCTCAAGCAGCTTCCCAAAGTCCGGTTCGTGTACGCGCATGGCTACGACAGGTTCATCGACATGGTCAAGTCGCCTGCATCATATGGTACGTGTGCCTCTTCACTCAGCAAGCAGTTTTCTACGCGTTGCTTGTTCTCGCAGGTTTTAAGGTGACGGACGAAGGTTGCTGCGGGCTTGGAAGACTCAATGGCCTCCTCGCTTGCATGCCAATATCAAACCTGTGCAGTAATAGGAAAGAGTACCTGTTCTGGGATCCTTTCCATCCCACGGAAGCGGCCAACATGGTTATTGCCACCGATTTTTACAACGGGACCACAGCCTATGCGTCGCCAATCAATGTCGAAGAGCTTGCATCTGTGTCGGCCGTGGTTTAATAGCTCGTTTCAAAGGGAACCCACGCTGTTTTGATCTGAAGAGAGCAATACTTAAAATGGCTTGAACGAAACTTCTCCAACAGGAACTCACCATGAAAACTTTTGCTTGGCAGCACAGATAAACGCAGTCACGGCTTCCGAAATCTGTAACTGCTGAAAATCCTTTTGAGTTTCCAGCGGCAGTCTCTTCTTCTGAAAACACAGCCAGCATAAGCTGACTAACAAAGCAGGTATTGTACCTGGTGCTTTGCAGCATCAAATTGGTGAAACCGTGTGTTGTTTGCTTCTGGAGTTGGAGTCCAAGGACCAATGCTTTCTGCGCGTCGAACTCCGTTAGAAGAAACATTTGGATGTTTACCGTGTACAGTATCTTCCCTGCTAAAATAAGAGAATAAATTAGAATCACAAACAAAAGCCAGCTTAAACCTCGGCGCTCTTTGCACGTCGGCTGGAGCTGTAGCTGGCCGTTTCGATTGCTTAGGAGTCTGAGAATATAAGAAAACTCTAAGCAAAAGGTTGTAGAGGTGTTGTTAAGGCAAAGCAAAGTACCTCAGCATGATGGTCATCCCCGGAGACGAACCTTATCCTTTGTGGGATGAACTTCTTTCCACCATATATCGGATTTAAAGCTCTGAGCTTTCCACCATTGGAGAAGATGGACCACTTCAACTCCGCTCGCAAGGCACGTCGGTTGGCCCTCGATTGCCTTGTTCGATGGAGCCTGAACGGCCATCGACTTCTCTCTGGAGCCTTCTCAGTACTGACCATAGATTCCCGGGCTCTAAGCAGTTCCTGGCCACGCTTGGAGCACAGATCAACCACCTCGGCCAGCTTCGAGGACACCAGAAGGGACTCGTGAACCCCCTTGAACAAGTCTGTCACGTCCTCCGCGATATTGACACCTTTCTTCTTGAGCTTGAGGAAGCAAGCACGGTTTTGGTTGTCTTCCTGTTCTACAGGCTTCGCGTTTTCCTGCAAAACCTCCTCTATATCCACGTCCTCGTAGTCAGACGAGCAAGTGCTTGGTGCATCCTCAGCAGCTCCATTGTTGTCTGGCATGCCATTCTGAACGTAGTCCTTGAAAACATCGTTCTCTTCCTCGTCGTCGCTCGCTGCCAAATCTTCGTCAACGTCCTTCGCAGCTGGGAGTTTCTTCGGTGATCCCCCCGACTTTCTTGGTGTGTCGAGCGAGCTTGGAGCAGTGAAACACCTCTTATCCTCGACAAACTTTCTCGTTATAGGAAAATCTACATCCGTTGAGCAGACCGCACTATCAACGCACGGATGCTGGACTCCCTGGAGACCGGTTGCATTTTCCACCACGCTCTTTCTTGGTGAAAAAGTGTGAAGCTGATTGCTCTGAGCGTTCGAAGTGTTGTCCGGAAAGACCTTCTCAGCTGCTGCAGCAATCTCAGAAGTGGTATTTACTACCACTGGTGCAGTCACGGGCCTTGCATGGCTGCTACTTACACTATGCTTACTGCTCGTTGATTTCAAGCAGCCTGACGTGAACTCTTCGTCTTTGATCCTCGATTTGGAGCTCTGCAAGTGCAAAGACACCTGCTCTGTTTCGTCAAAGTTGCTGCTCAGCCCCTTGGTGTCAGCTATATTCAGCTTCGTGTATAAGTTCCTCTCCAGTGCCAGTAGAGCCTTCACACTGGCTTGTCTAAACCACAGTGGCTTCGCTCTTTCGGACGTCAAAACTGGTCCAGCTGAAGCGGGTCTGAACCGAATTTCCTGTAGCGAGGGCCTGGCCGGATGAACATCTTCCTTATGCAAGTTTTTCTCGTCCTGGTCACAAGCAACGGCACGGTGCTTACTTCCGGCTTTGATAAGCTCTTCGTCATGAAAGGAGTGGCCAAAGTCGCACGGAGTACCCTGCCAACTCTGCTGCTTACTCTTGCCCCTCTTCGGTGGAGACTCAAACGCAGGACCATCTCGCGAAGAAGACTTGCTACCATCGTCGACGGAACCGTCCATATCATCGAGCTCACTCTTGCTCCTGGCTTTTCTCGCAGGAGACTCATCTCTAGCAGACCAAGGCCTCTTTGCAAGAAGACTACTCTCCTTGGCACAGCGACCTTCTCTAGCCGAAAACGGTCTCTCTTGATGCCTGCTTTTACTGCGGGGCCTCTCAAAGCAGTCCTTTTCTCTGGAATACCTCTCAACGCACTCCCTGCTACAGCTCCTTCCACCACAGCTATTCTCTTTACTACTCCTTCCACTCCACTGCTTACTATTCCTCTTTGCATTCCTCGATCCCCCGGCAGAACGATTCCATCCTCTTTCTCTGCATTTCTCGAAATCCCTGCTCGACTGTCCTTCCCTGGAAATCCTATCGCTACTACTACAGGTAGCATTCTCGTGTTTGTCCCTTTCTCTTCGTCTGTCTAGACTACTTTGATCCTTGCCAGGATTCTCAGCTCCTCCATCCAAATCCTCACTGATCTTGTTGTATTCCCGGATCGTCTCTAGCAGCTCTTCCACGGGATCCTTCGCCGGCCGCTGCGGCTTACGCAAGCACTGCCGCTCGCGAACCCTGTAACCGTGTAGACCACGCACCTTGCTCCTGCGCACGAGATCGCTGAAGACATCCAGCTCCATCGGCGCATTGGAGGCGATGAGCCGCAGCAGCACCGGACTGATGTAATGCGGCGCGGAGGAATCCGGGCGCCGCCGATGCTGATCCATCCGGGGCGCACAAGCATCTAGATCGTCCCTCCAGCGCTGTGGCGCAGCAGCGCCACTCCTCTCCTTGTAGCGCGGCGTCGTGGGGAGCGCGATAATCGCCCCTTGCATCGCATCGCCCTAGCTAAGCCCTAGCCCTAAACTTTTGAAGATACGCGCCATAACGGAAATATTCCAATACCGTACGGACACAACGGAAGAAGAAGAAAAAAATAATAGAAAGAATTTCTCTTGTTCTTCGTCTCTCTCTTCGTCTCTCTTGTTCTTCGTCTCTTTCTCCCTCCTCCCTGGTCGATCGATCATCTCGCGCAAACACTCGATATCTTCACCATCAGTTACACAACAGGGATGATCTCATCGTCTTCTTCCATCCTTGTTCATCGTCTTCGTCGTTGTCTTCCTCAATCGTATTCTCGTCAATAAGTTCGACCATTTTGCACTGCTGCTGCTACCTTGCGAGTTGCTGTCATGCCGCTGATGCTCTTGGCCTCCGTCGCTGCTGCTGCCGCCGCCGCCGCCCCCTTGGGTTGGACTGCCACAAACTCGCCAGTGTTATCCTTCTTATCATCTCGGTCGGACTTAGCAAACGTTCTCCTCCCATAAGAATAAACAGAGGCTGTGTATTGCTGGAGAGAGCTGCTGATGCTCGCGCTTTTCACTAACCTTCTCGCATCAACCGTGTCTCGGGTCACGACCGACACTCCGGAGTTCACCACTTTGCCTGGCTTTGCTGCCAAACCACCTGTGGAGACGCAAACCGTCAGGGCGATACATCGTCTCGGGCACTTAACTTGCCTTGGTAACCACCTTTCTGTGGCGCTCTAGTCGACTTCTCCTGCTGAGGCTTCTCCGAGAACTTCCCCGAGTCGTGGTATTCTCGTTCCTTGCTGGAACAGTCACTTGCAGCAGCAGCAGTGCTGGAGTACACCGTCGCCGGCCTGTTATGTTGATGCGTTTTAGGATGACGTTTACAATGAAGAGGAAAGCTTCAAACCTGGGAAGCGATGCATGGTGGCGCTCCACAGCAGCATTATTGTTACCACCTTTACCGTAGTGCTCCTCAAGCTGGGCGAACTGCCGTTTGAACTGGTCGACAGCACTGCAATTGCACGATTATTAGCGGAAATGGAAAACTTGGCAGTCAGACCTTGGATACATGAAGTTAGCATGATCAGTTCCGTTGAGATACTCCTCTAGCATTTGAGGATGATACTCAAGTATCTGAAGCAGAGGGTAAAGTATCAGTATCAAAAAACTCTCTGGCACACGACACTGGCCTACCTCACGATAAATTAATTCCCTCACATCGTCCTTACTGATTCTTCGGCGCTCAAATTCGAACTCCATTTTTGTTATAGGTTGTGCAGAGGGCTCGCGCTCTACTTTCGCCAGTCCCCTGAAGTATGGATCTGCTAAAGCCTGATGAAAAACAGACAAACTTAGCAGCCTGCTCATAAAAAATCTGGAGAAATATATTTACCTCCTCAGCCGTTGGTCGATCCTTAGGATCAAAAGCTAACAATCTCTCAAGAAGCCTCAGCGCCAAGGGATCAGCATTCGGAAACTTCTGAGTAAATGGAATCGCCGTCTTTTTTCGCATCCCACTAAGATATCTTCTAGCCTTCTCATTTCGAACCTGGAATATTCAAAAGTTACGGGCGATCACACAAACAATAAAGTCTAACCCTGGCAACAGATTCAGCCGACGGCGTTCCGAGCATATCCGTCATGAGGTCTAATTGGTGTACTACGTTCTTTCCAGGAAAAAGCGGCTTTCCTGTCAAGATTTCAGCGAATATACAACCAATACTCCAGATATCAATTGCTGGTGTGTACTGCAGACCACAAAGTAAACATTAGACTCTACTTGCAGTTACACTTCAATGTCATAATCACCTTGGAAAAGAAGGAGCCACATAGTTCGGGGGCTCGGTACCACCTAGTCGCAACATAATCCTTGAAAAAAAGGAGAGTCAGATATGTCCATCCTTTGTTTGATACACTTACTGTCCAAAAGATGGCCGTCGGAGCATCGTTAAAAGCAACTCGAGCAAGTCCAAAATCACAGATTTTTAGCTTGCAGTCGGCATTCGCAAGAATGTTTTTTGGCTTCAAATCTCGATGGAACACATTCGCTGCATCAAGAGCACAGAAGAAACAGAGAATTGCACACTGAAGAATAACCAAGAAGTTGCAAACCTGTGTGAATATACTTCAGAGCTCGTAGCAGCTGATAAAGAAAAAACTGGTAGTGTTCCGGTGTCAGATCGTCATTTGCTTTGATCACTTGATGCAGATCCGACTCCATCAGCTCAAAGACAACGTAAATGTCCTTGAACTCTCGTCGGGAGGGTGGCAGCATGATGTGCTTGATCTCCACGATATCCGGGTGCCTCAGCAGCCTGAGAAGCTTGATTTCACGTAAAATGCGAGTAGCATCTGAAACGTGCTCAAATATGTCGTTGATCTTCTTGATGGCAACCTTATCTCCAGTATGCATATCAGTAGCCGAGCAGACGACACCATAGCTGCCCTTGCCTATAACCTCCAGGATTTTGTAACGACTTGCTTCACCATACTCAGTGAAGAACTCAGTCTCAGCCATAGTCTGCGGAGCCCACAAGAAGCAAACGAATCAAAACCACCACCAAGTGAACAGTAAGAAACTACCTAGCTATGGAAGCTCCAAAGCGGAAAAACAAAATGGAAAAGAGGATAAAACACTCCACTCACTGTCTCACCTTGCGACGCGAATCAGCTCCCTGCTGCATAGCGTGATGCCCTGCAAGGGATTGCTGCAAGCGCAGGTGGCGCTGAGATCCGGAATTGTTTGGCCCAGACGAGGCCTCTGCTGGAGGAGGAGAATTGTCAACTTGAGCCAAGCGCCGATTGATCCAATGCCGAAAACCCTCTAAGAGGGTGCCACCCATGTGCTGCCCAGCAATGCCGCGACGCAAGAGCAAGCATCCAGTGATGATCCACCGCAGCGGCCCCTCAATCCCCAGGCTTCCCACAAAACATCCTTGTTCTTGACAGCGCTAGCTTCCACAAGCTGGGAATTCCCAAATCGCGGCACCCTCCTCGTGTCCCAGATAGAAGAATTCTGGCAATTCGGCGATGGCAACCGGCAGCGGCAACAGCAGGTATCGAACCCCTCCGCCGCTTGTCTCATCCCCACGCCCTAATCCCGGATTCCCCCAAAATGCAGCTCCTCCCTCGCCCCAGCCGCCGCAAGATCCCTGCGCCGCCCCGAAATATCGATCTCCCTGCTCGGCCCTAGCCCCGGATCACCAGATCGTGGCACAGCGCCCTCGCCGGCGCCAGATCGAGCGCCACCATACCTATCGCAGACGCGCCGAGGCCAGCCGCGATCTACCTAGAGCTCGCGAGGCGCCAGATCAAGCACTCGCCCACCGACGACGCGACGCGCACAAAGAAATGGAAGATGAACGACACACCACCACAGCCCAAAGCATAAGAAAGAGAGAGGAAGAAAAAAAAGGGCAGTAAATCGATTACTTGCCTTTTTTTACTGCCACCGTAACACGTGACCTACCTTTTTAAATTCCATGCTGGCCATCCGACGGCCCTGGCGCCTGCCACCTCCGCGCGCGATTCACCCCGAGCGTCGATAGGAAAATCGTGTCTTTTTACCAATTTACGAATTAATCATTGATGCCGAAGCAACGGCCACGATGAACGCTTGTGGTGGAATGGGCAGGCCGGGGTTGACAACGCTCCCAACTGATTGGTTAGCTGCAAAACACGGCTTTATCGCTGGAGCCACTCACTCTCGCACAACTTACAACTTTTTTTTTATATTTCAAGTCAAAATTTTCGGACATTCAAAGCATTGCTTTTGTGACTCGATTTGGGTGCAGGATCCAATCCAAGCCTCCCAATGGCACCAAAACACAAAGGTTTGCGCACCCAAATGTGGAGCATTCCACTTCTTGGCTTTCCAGGCATGCCATAAGTTGCTTTAAAGAGGCGTTAAACCCTCTTGGTTTTGGAGAGGGACGCGCGACCAATGCAACAACCCTTCGCAAGGAAAGAAAAAACTGCCAAGGTTTTGCTGGAAATTCAAGAGTGTTGCACTTGCTTTCCGGGACAATGCAGAAACTTGTGGTACTCTTGCTGCGTGTCTGGCTTTGAGAAGTCCAGGTGCAGCAGAGTTTTCAGCATGTGCTGCTCTTTTATAAAAACAGCATGGTGGTTGTGAGGAATAGAATCCAGATTTCCATTCACATTTTGTGTTTCAAAAACTTTATAGTTGTGATTCAATGAACAAAGAACAGCTAGCTCAGGAGAAGCATATACATATAAATCACAGCAATCTTGGCTAGTGCCACTTAATAGACTAGCAAGCAATTATCTTGTTGGCATTTCAATTTTCTTTAATAAACTAATGGCAATATGCTTAGATTGGTAAATTTTGATAAAATAACAAAGTAAATAAAAAAATATTCTTCTGTATTCAAAAGTTTTTTTTTCTTGGAACTTTTCTTAATCCTGTTTGAGGAATCTTTAATTTATTAATTTAGGATTTTTACTCTACTTTAACTCTTCTTAAACAACTTAACTCAACTCAATATATAGTTTGAACAACAAGATCAAAAGATATTTGTGCAAAATATTTTTAATGCTTTCATTTTTTTTCTAGTTGTGTTTGATTACTATTATATATTAACTAATTTTTAAAAATTTATTTTAATTAATTTTTATGGTGATTATCTTTTTCTAAAAATCTTTTATAAATACATCATTACAACTGATTTTTTTAGATTAAAATATTATACTAGAAATTTTATAACCTTTATCTATAAATATAAATAATAAATATTAAGAAATTTTACATAAAATTTATAATTGTTTCAAAAATAAAATTATTTTTTAATTATTTTCTGCATAATAATTTATACATATTTTTTATGATTATAGGCATAGTGGCAAAGGCCCTTAAAGTAAAAGTAAGTACACATAAATAAATTCTTGTATTGAAACCAATTTATAATATTTTTTGAGAAATTATTAATGTGATTAATGAAAAAAAATCATATTTATAATCATGAAATAAGTTATATTAATTATGTTTGTACAAGATATACTAATGAATCATTTTTCATTTAGTTAATGTTTTTTAATTACTTTTATATTGGAGTTTTTTATATTTGTCAATTAATTTTTATTTTATTTTATATAGTTTAGTTATTAAATATGTGATAGATTATAAATCCATTAGCTATATCATTTGTAATTGTTAAAATACCATAGTATCTAAACATTCTTTAAATAAATTGGCTTATAATTTTCAAAACATATGTGCCAAGATTTAAAAACATTTTTCTTAGCAGTTCTCCACTATTAGTTAGTTAAGTAACATTCTATTTTATGCTATTTTGACAATTTAGATTTTTAAATTACAGTATTAGCAGTCAAAGCACAGACTAAAGACAAAACTAAGAGGAGCAAACAATGCCACTAAAGCCAAGAGCCATGAAGACACACAAGCCAGTGCCACTGCCAAGGAATGATAATAAGGCATTGCTTGACAAGGATCAAGCCATCTAATTCAATGGCAAAAAACAGCAATGCTGCTGAAGCAAACAAAAAGAAGGTAGTAGCAACCAAAAAGGAAGACAAAGATGTTTTTGGGAATGCTCTAGCTGCTGAGAAGATTATGTGATGAAGGCTGCAAAGAGGAAGAAGATGAGACAGTGGCAGTGGAGCATGCTGGAGCAGCGATGAAGAGATGAGATCAAAGAAGAATGTTGAAGCAAGCGATGCAAGAGCGGTATGAGAACAAGAGATAAAGCGACCCATTCAAATAAAGGGGGGAGAGAAAGAGTAAAAACAAGGAATAGAGTCAAGCTTTGCGCTGTGAGCTATAGCGTTGAGTCAGTCTGGCTGGCATCTCTGGAGGAGCAACGAAGAATGGCAGTGGAAGTAGTGCTTGATCCCGAACCAACATGTGATTATATAGTAAACGGGAGCTATTATTTTAATGATCTCAAAACCTTTCTTTTTGTTTTTCACAGATTCCAAGCACCAACTTCTTCACAATGTATATGCTGCCCTTCATCAGGTTTTCTTCATCCATTCTTTTATGGAGCACAGAGACAGAGCAATGGAAGCCTCTAGCGTCTTCCGCTGATACCAGAAGATAAAATCTCCTAGGCAAACTCTGGCTTTATGCTCAGCTGGAAAATCCTTGAGCATGACTTCCAAAGGTTTCGAGAAAGATTTCGAGATGGAAGGTAACAAATCTCTAGCACTGGGAAAGAAAATCAATAGAAACATATCTAGACAGCGGCTCTCGCTGACGCAGCCAAGACTATAACTAAGGGCAAAAGCCACAAACGTTCATTAATGCACATCATCCGATAACACTGACTCAAATCCGCAACACTAGAAGCTCATCGTCCTTATGCTTCGTCGAATCAATAGTAAGATGGAGGAGGAGGAGAGCTATAGTAATACACGGGCGGAGGTGGTGGCGAGCTATAGACGTACGGAGGTGGCGGCGATGGCGAGGGTGGTGGAGGGGACATGTATACGTATGGTGGTGGTGGGGACGGTGATGGCGGAGGTGGAGACTTGTAGATATACGGTGGTGGAGGGGATGGAGAGGGTGGTGGCGGCGACTTGTAGTAGTAAGGAGGAGGGGGCGATGGAGATGGCGGGGGTGGAGATTGGTAAACGTATGGTGGTGGCGGAGATGGTGAAGGTGGTGGCGGGGATTTGTATACATATGGCGGAGGTGGTGATGGGGATGGTGGTGGCGGAGATTTGTACACATATGGAGGTGGTGGGGATGGGGATGGTGGTGGCGGAGATTTGTACACATATGGAGGTGGCGGGGATGGAGATGGAGGCGGCGGAGATTTATACACATAAGGAGGTGGCGGGGATGGAGATGGAGGCGGCGGAGATTTGTAAACGTACGGTGGTGGTGGTGAGGGAGATGGCGGAGGTGGCGAGCTGTAAACATATGGAGGAGGCGGCGAGGGAGATGGCGGTGGCGGGGATTGATACACATACGGGGGTGGCGGGGAGGGAGATGGAGGTGGTGGAGATTTGTATACGTACGGGGGTGGCGGAGAGGGAGATGGCGGCGGCGGCGACTTATAGACATATGGAGGTGGCGGAGACGGAGATGGCGGAGGAGGAGATTTATAAATGTAAGGAGGAGGCGGAGATGGAGATGGTGGCGGCGGTGATTTGTAGACGTATGGTGGTGGCGGCGAAGAAGACGGCGGAGGCGGCGATTTGTAGATGTACGGAGGCGGCGGCGACGGGGATGGCGGAGGTGGCGACTTGTACACATAAGGCGGCGGCGGCGAAGAGTAATCGTAATTCGCGCTCACCACATTAATCTCTCCCAATGCCGCGATTGTCACCAGCGCTAGAGCCCATCCCAGGGCGATCGAGCTGCGGGAAGCCACCAATCTGGTCCCCATTTTGCCGGAAGATCGAGCTCGCAAAATCCCCCTGTTCTCCTTATCCTTTTTCCGTCTTTCTATGCTGGAATGATCGATCTCACTGATTGAAAGCCTCGCAGAGAATTGAGATCTAGAATCGCCGGTGCTGCTGGTGGTGCGATCGGATCGGATTGGAGCAGCCAGCGAGCGACGCGACGAGCGATTGAGGGATGCTCCTCAATCTAGAGCTGAGTGAAGAGCTCTCGAGAGGAAGAGCTCGAGGAGGAGCAAAGAGATGAGGGATGAGAGTGAGTGGAGATTTGTAGTGCCAGAGATGCCAGCCAGACTGACTCAATGCTGTAGCTCACAACGCAAAGCTCGACTCTATTCCTTGTTTTTACTCTTTCTCTCGCCCTTTATTTGAATGGGTCGCTTTGTCTCTCCTCGTTCTCACGCTGCGCTTACGCGGGCAATCCACAGTAAATCTTCCAGGACAGAAAACAAAATGGAGGAACCGACTCTCTTGTTTGATATACGTGTTTTGCTACGTTGATTTTTTTATCCATGCAAGTTTTGCCTATTCCACGTATCAATCCAAAGCCGAGTGAATTTACCGGGTCAGAGTTTAAAGAGTGTTGGGTAGAATCTACTTATCAGTGGGCATTTTCAGTACTCGCAGTGGAACATCCTACTGCGAGTACTGCTCGCTACGATCAAGCTGCCAAAGTTACGCGGTGACTTTCTGTTTCTTTTCCTCGAAATCGATTCACCCCTATCGCCTATTCCAGCCGGAGCTTCGTTTTCACTCGCAGAGAGGGTATTTATTATTGTGTCAACAACGCCAACGGAAAGCCTTGAATGCCTGCAAAAAACCTGATTATCAAAAACTGATTAAAGGAAAAAAAAAAAGTAAAAGGCAAAGAGAATCAAAACCACGGATTGCTCTTTCTTCTTCTTTTTCCTGCCCAGGCATCAACATCAGCAGGAGTTGCATGCACGCTATCTGGAACTCTTGAAACTTTCTAGCAAAAACAATAACTTCTAGTCTCCAACAAGATGAAATCATAGCCTTGCGAAGTGAATATTATAAAAAAAATTTATAATATCAAAAGTTATTATTGTTTTCAATAATAATAAAAAGAGTAAGAAGAAGAATAAGAGATCTGCCATGCCAAAGGAAAAAACAATTTATAAACCACACCTATATTCCGTTAAAAGGATCCTCTATATAATATATGTATTGTGTGTGTCTATATATACTTTCTTTCTTTTGCTCAACTTTTGGACTTTGATAAACATCACCATCCAAAGTAATATGCAAATGGGATTGGAAGTTGTAATTCACAAAGAAATAAATTGACAAGATCATTATTTGTTATTGGTCAGTCCAACCAACAAATCACTGACTATTAACATCACTTTTTTTATCTACTTTCGCCTTCTGATTTATTTATATGTTTAGGATATTTATTTATCAGAGAGTCCCCTTTTCCGCTTAGCGAATCACAATGGAATTGAGAGCACAATGACCTGACGTTGAAGAGAGGCACCACACACCGGACACAGATCAAAAGCTTTAAATATCATAAGAAACAAGGAGATCTAGAGGTCATAAAGGTACTCTAGCTGGCATGCATAAATTAATACAAGAAAGTGGAGAGAGCTTGAAAGCATTGTAATCTAGTATGCATGCTAGCAAACCAGGATTTTCCTAAGGTTATCACACCGTTGATAAAGATTCTAAGAACAAAAACATGGAAAACCCTTATACCAAGCCATATCGCATACTCTTGTGTATACACTACACAATTTTACAACTGACATGCTTGTTCACTCGGGAAACTATTTATGAAACCATGAATGAATGAAATCTTGAATTAAAAAGGACAAATTGAAAGCCTTGCACAAGCACACACTTCACACCAGAATAACACGGCGACTTGGATAGTCCGCAAACAGATCGTAGTCTTCCGGCTGGATAAGCTCGGTGTCAACTCCAGACTTGAGCACCTGGAGATCGACGTAAGGGCCGGTGTAGACGGTATTCAGCATCCCGCGGATGGTCGGCCCGATCACGTGGCGAACCTCGGCCGAAATGTTGAAATTGTATGCCTTATCACACACGTCCTTGCGCACCCCCTCGCCATCGCCAGCCCGCTCCCACCTGTAAAAGGTGACGCGAAACCCCCTGGACAGGAGCATGCCGAAGAGGAGGTAAGGCCCATCGTTCTTGTTCATCTCCTTGTCCAGGCAATGGTACATGTCGTAAGGGGTGCGGCCACAGAGGAGGACGACAGCGCCATCTCGCGTGCCCTTGAATTCTCCACTGCGCAGCGATCATGTCACACGCAGGAAGATTTATTCGAGTTTTCCTTACCTGTTGCGAATCAGTATTGATAAGTAGCCAGTCAGGAAGCCCACGGGATCATCCCAGTAGTTAGGAAGACCCAGCTCCTTGATCTTCCAGCTCCGGTCGTTGAGCACATCCTGCGGAGTTACCAGATCCTTGAGATGCACGAACCCCATCCAGCCCTAGAAAGTATAGGGAATTGACCCAGGACCTAATAAAGTGCCCTAAGATGTTATTATATTTATTTTTATTCTCATTGACTCCAATCCCAAACACTAGAAGCTCATCATCTCAAATCAATAGTAAGATGGAGGAGGAGGAGAGCTATAGTAATACACGGGCGGAGGTGGTGAGCTATAGACGTACGGAGGTGGCGATGGTGAGGGTGGTGGTGGTGACTGGTAGTAATAAGGAGGAGGTGGCAATGGAGAAGGAGGGGGTGGAGGCGATGGTGAAGGTGGTGGTGGGGATTTATATACATAAGGAGGTGGCGGCGATGGAGATGGAGGCGGTGGAGACTTGTACACATAAGGAGGTGGCGGCGATGGAGATGGAGGCGGTGGAGACTTATACACATAAGGCGGAGGTGGGGATGGAGATGGCGGAGGTGGCGAGCTGTAAACATATGGAGGAGGTGGCGAGGGAGATGGCGGTGGCGGGGATTGGTACACATACGGGGGTGGTGGAGAGGGAGATGGAGGTGGTGGAGATTTGTATACGTACGGGGGTGGAGGAGATGGAGATGGCGGCGGCGGCGATTTGTAGACGTACGGCGGTGGGGGCGACTTGTAGATATAGGGAGGTGGTGGAGATTTGTATACGTACGGGGGTGGAGGAGACGGAGATGGCGGCGGCGGCGACTTATAGACATAGGGAGGTGGCGGAGATGGAGATGGCGGAGGAGGAGATTTATAAATGTAAGGAGGAGGTGGAGATGGAGATGGTGGCGGCGGTGATTTGTAGACGTATGGTGGTGGTGGCGAGGGGGACGGCGGAGGCGGCGATTTGTAGACGTACGGAGGAGGCGGCGATGGGGATGGCGGAGGTGGGGACTTGTACACATAAGGCGGCGGCGGCGAGGAGTAATCGTAATTCGCGCTCACCACATTAATCTCTCCCAATGCCGCGATTGTCACCAGTGCTAGAGCCCATCCCAGGGCGATCGAGCTGCGGGAAGCCACCAATCTGGTCCCCATTTTGCCGGAAGATCGAGCTCGCAAAATCCCCTGTTCTCCTTATCTTTTTTCCGTCTTTCCTATGCTGGAATGATCGATCTCACTGATTGAAAGCCCGCAGAGAATGGAGATCTAGAATCGCCGGTGCTGCTGGTGGTGCGATCGGATCGGATTGGAGCAGCCAGCGAGCGACGCGACGAGCGATTGAGGGATGCTCCTCAATCTAGAGCTGAGTGAAGAGCTCTCGAGAAGAAGAGCTGGAGGAGGAGCAAAGAGATGAGGGATGAGAGCGAGTGGAGTGGAGATTTATAGCGCCAGAGATGCCAGCCAGACTGACTCAACGCTGTAGCTCACAGCGCAAAGCTCGACTCTATTCCTTGTTTTTACTCTTTCTCGCTTTGTCTCCGCCCCGTTTTCACGCCGCGCTTACGCGCGCAATCCACAGTAAATCTTCCAGGATAGAAAACAAAATGGAGGAACCAACTACGTGTTTTGCTACGTTGATTTTTTTATCCATGCGAGTAAGTTCTTACGTATCAATCCAAAGCCGAGTGAATTTACCGGGTCAGAGTTTAAAGAGTGTTGGGTCGAATCTCAGTACATCCTACTGCGGGTACTGCCCGCTACGATCAAGCTGCCAAAGTTACGCGGTGACTTTTTGTTTCTTTCTCTTGAAATCGATTCATCCCTACTGCCTATTCCCCGCCGGAGCTTCGTTTTCACTCGCGGAGAGGTTATTTATTCTTGGAAAGCCTTGAATGCCTGAAAACAACCACAAAAAGTGTGATTATCAAAAAATGGAGAGAAAAGAAAAAGTAAAGGCAAAGAGGATCGAGGCCACGGGCTGCGATTTTCCTCTTTTCTGCCCAGGCATCAACATCAGCAGGAGTTGCATGCACGCTATCTGGAACACTGAAAACTTTCTAGCAAAAGCAGCAAGTTCTAGTCTCCAACAAGAAACATTTGATGCAATCGTAGCCTCGCTGGAGTGAATCCCACCACCCTTGAAACCATCAAAGTTGACGAGCGTGAGATTGCTGTCGATCTTCGTGCAGTTGACACATACGCGAAGACAGTACAAACATTATACTACCATACAATAGGAAGAAGAAGAAGAAGATCTACGCGCTTGCGGCATGCATGCCATGCCAAGGTAAAAGGACAAAAGCTGATGCGAGGAGTATAAAGGGGAATTCACAAACCGCACCTATATTCTGTTAAAACGCGGGGGGCTGTCTCATGGATGGATTCCAGAGGGATCATCACTGTTCACTCATGAGTTCACTCCAGCTCATGGGGCTTATAACTAACCTCCGTGTGGAAACAAACTTGGACTCCAGCAAAGTGCTTCCTCCACTCCCAGCCAGCAGCTTGTAATTCATGGCTTGGCTCTTTTGGGCTTTCCGGAGTTTGGTATGCGTCCAGCGGACGTGTTCGTAAAGTATATTCCGGGACTTCATCTCCAACGAGAGCCTTCATCTCTAACTAGGACGAGATCTGAAATGGAAAAACCTGTTGAGCTACGGGAATCGAAGAAAGGGGAGCTGAAAGCAAATGCACGATTGCAAGTGGGGCGAAGAGATTCCGTGGTGGCCCGAGTGTCGCGAAAGCTCCGCCAACTTTTACGGAAGAATCAAAGACGACCTGAAGTTTATCTCGAACTTGTTTCCACTTAAAGCTTCTATTTCTTTTAGTTCGGATTTTGCACAACTACCCCGAAGACAAGAAAACTTCGCTTTTGAATGCATTAAGTAGGATAATCTCACCAAAGGAAATGGAGGCCGGAACGATTTGATGGACCCCATCGATTCAGTCATAGTATTTTTTCTAGTCCATAGACAAGAGACTGCGAAAAAGATCAAACGATAACCATGAGATTTGGCAAATTTGTCCTGTTACCTGAAGCCTGATAACTCGTCGAATGGCAACCAAGAGCCCAGGCATGAGAGCCTTAACATCTGTTATATCGTGCCTCAGAGAAAACACCTGTGGAAAGTGGTGAGAAACTTTCGCAAGGTATGAGTATGAGAACAAATTACCTCTCCTGGGCCTGAAAGGCTTACGGCGAGGCTTGAAATGAATCCAGGTGAAACCATACTGTGGATCCTAATTCCATCGTCTACGAGCTCGCCTCTTGCCTTCACGAACAAGGACAGTGAAGACTAAGAAATCTAAATGAATAAAAAATGAAGAACACTGGACTTTACCGGATGTTCTTTGGAGAAATCGGAGTCGTTGTAAACGCGCCCCATGCCGGTCATGCTCTTTGCAACTCTGAGAGCCTCCGAAGAAGGATAAACGTTCTACATACAAAGCAAGGAAGATCTCAACCATGTAAACTTTGAAAGAGGTGGCAAACCTTGGCGCTCTGCAGGGACTCAACTATGTCGACGTGACTGTAGTGGAAAGACGCAGCAATGGCCGCTTCCTGAAGAAGAATAGCTCCAATCGAAAGCGTTGGTGCGATGACACAGCCCTGCAAGTCAGGCACACGCTGAGACATAGATAGAGAAGCAAAGGACGGAGAAACTCCACAGCTTAACTCACCACATCTCACCATGCTGGCCTTTTCGCAAAATGTGATAAGCTGCGAGACGACGTCCAAATCCACACCTGGCACCGCAACCACGCTCCTCATCCCAAACGCTGTCGCTTGTCTTACATTCTCGAGGACCTCGGATGCCTCCGAGAAGTCGACCACTACTCCGGTTGGACGCGACTGTGGAAAGAATACCACATATAAAACTTACGAAATGGAAATGCTATACTCTAACTTGAGACAGAGAGCCCAAGACCGTGACGAGATTGTTGGACACTGGTACTTCTAGTGCTTCCAATCCGGCAACCTGATAATGTAGCTCCCTATAAGACTCTAGAGAGAAAAAGAGAAAAAAAGGAAAGCTTTACCTCACCGACGTCTTCGCCAACACGTATTGTGTCAATAGCTCCGGCAACTTCCATTCCTCGGGCTTTCGAGATTGCTGCAATGGCAGCCTTGCCAATGTCTTTGCAAGCACCACTTACAATCACCTGAGCAAGGAACCGTGAAACCAACGAGAAAGGAAAATGGAAAGAACCAACCTTGATATTGGAGGATGAAGATTTCGCGCCTTGGGCCGTAGAGGCAGAGATTAAAACTCCGGGTCTAGCCTTCCACTCGAGTCCCAAGCTGCAGCACACCATAGCCATAAGAGAGAAAGAGAACCAAACAACCTAAGCAACTGGATTCACTTAAACCGAAGAAAAAATCTCCAGCAAAGTGAAAGCGTAAAGAAACTGTTCCGTGAGCTTTAAACGTATGATCCATTCAAAGGAATGCCGAGAACATAGCGATCGATAATCCTGGAAAAACTCCAGCAAACATTCTCAGTGAAGAACAAAGAAGAAGAAACGATGAAAAGAAGGATATGAATCAACTCAAGCCGTCTGTGTTGCTGGCTGTGGCTTGCTAGACGCTGCCTGGACTGGGCTTGGAGCTGGAATCGGTGGCAAAGTCGTGCCGCCTCCCTTGTGAAGAACTCGAGCTTCCGGAGGCCCTGTCATGATCTGGCCACGCAGCGCCGCGGCGTAGCGATCGTTGATATCGCGCTTGTTCTTCACATCGTCCAGAAGCTCCTGGAGGCGATCTTTATTCACCTTTGACATGTCCTAGCGCAAGATCACAAGAAATATTGTCGAGCGATCGTCCAAGAAAGAATGCCGGCACTCACCGATGACACGCCCATGGGCCTCTGGCCAAGCTCCTTGTTGAGCTTCTCCTCATTGCGCCGCGACGCCCAGATGAATCCCTCGGCCACCACCCACGGCACCACGAGGCACGCTCCCATGAAGCCGGCGAAGAACACCTTGGATTCCCTGGTGCGCCATACGATGTGGCGCCAGAGAATTTGCCCTGCGTGGAGATCGCGATTCATCGCAATGCCGCTCTTTTCCCCTTCTCTGTTTTTAGGGTTCTTGGAGAAGATCCTTGAGGCATATTCCCGGAAAAATACGAAATTAGGGTTCTTCGGAAGAAGATGGAGGTCGCAGCTGTCGCTGCGCCTTCTCCGAGCTTCTGGAGGCATGGCGCTGCTGGATCCGCTGGCGCCGCGGAGCTCCAGTTTAGGGGGTGCAAGAATGCGGGCCGGGAGCTCACGAAATTGAGGGTATTTCTTTGCTCCAGCTCAATTCAGGATTCCAGGTGTGTGTTACTGTAGCTGTGCTTCTGATCGAAGAGGATTTTTAGGAGTAAGCCGTGGAACGATGCGAATTTGGCGCGGGAGCTCCGGGAATTCATGGTAGCTAATGGACTTCCTTCTGATAAAGTTCCAAGTACAAAGGAGCTAGCGAGCAATGGACGGTATGCTTTGAGCGAAAGATTTTTCTTATGGATTTCCTTGTTCTTCCTCTAGCCAAGATCTTGCCAACGTTGTGAGACGCAGAGGCTACAAAGCCATCGCACAGCTCTTAGCTTCGACTCCCGTCTCGAGCCAGCCTGTTGTTGGAAACATTGTGGATGAAAGTTGTGATGCTCTACAGCCGCAAGTCGAGAACGATGTTGTTCTTAACGGTTCTGCCAGGACAGAAGATGAAGAGAGAGCCAGCCATCACCAGCTTGAGTATCTCGATGTAATAAGGCCGCCTTCTCCAGATGTTCTTGGAGTAGATTCGAGCCAGGTCTTGGAAGAAAAAGCTGAGAAGTTCCTACGTACGGGAGAGTTCTCTTCGGATCAAGGTACATTCGTCTTCTAAATCCTCGAAGCACTAAAAACTCTTTCGTTCGATTTTGAGAAGAAAACGAGGCTTTAAGCACGACTGAAGAATCTGACAGCGAGGACGAAGCCTTGGAAATGGTTGCACTGAGAAAAGCAGCGCTGCTACGATCGAAGCTCACACCCTTCATCAGCTCCAGGTGAGCTTGCTTTTTTTGTTCTTATCTTTGTCATCTTGGTTTCCATCAGGGAGACGGTTTCTCAGGACGAACAAATAGCTAGCGAGAAACTATTTGCTACTACCAATAAAGTCCAAGATCTCTTAGAGGTGGGACTTCTACCTTTCTTTAGCTTCTGCATCAGCATTGACTGTCTTATGGGGGTGCTCTGCCATTGTTTGTAGAGAACAGGGAAAAGAAAATGATATTCAAGTGCAGGAGAAACAAACTCAGTTTAAACCGTTGTCTTCCGTGAATCCAGAAGGACAAGGGTCTTCAATCCCAGTCGAAGGACCAAGCTCCGGTGTTTTCAGAGGATCTGAAAGCAGCT